CATATTTAAAAAAAAATTCTTTAGTTCTTTTGCGGGGAGGGTACGTTCTTAGTTGTTGTTTTTGCTCTTTCTTTTAGTTGTTTATTTTTTATTTTTTTTTAGGAGGGGTGTTTCTTGTTTGGTCTTTTTTCGGGGGGACGGGGGCTTCTTTGCAAAAAAAGCGATGGGGGGTTGATAGGGTTTTTGTTTGGTTTGTTGGGGCAAAAAATCTACCGGCGTTTTTTTTAATTGGTCATTTTTACGCCCCCATCATGCACTCTGCCTTTCCTTAACAGTCAACCCTACCTTCCAGTCACCTAACTATCTCAGTTAGTTTTAGTAGAAGTATTACGGCGCCCGCAACTACATAAGGTCATATGAGCGCCAGAAGATTAGAGGTGTTAAAAGAGAGTAACAAAAATAAGAAGAAGGGAAGATAAGGACGATAGATGTTTTATAGGAAAGAAGAAGCAAACCACACCAGAGCACCCGCCAACCACCCACATAACTACCTCAACTTGTGACGGCACGACATTGACGACACTCACCAGGCATAACACAACAGACATTCTATTAGCCGTAATCGCATTCAAGTATAATTAAGCGCTCAGGGCACCCCACTCACAACCGGCGTAATGAGCCATCACAAATCGCAGTGTTTCTCAACAAGTTGTAAACTGTTTCCCCCACGTCGATCCTTCCGCAATCACGTTCTTCGCGATGGACACTTTACCGCATAGGAAGATACATTAGGCACACTACAAACCCTTAGGCGATCATTAATGACGCCTCGGACTATTGTTTGAAACTATGGGTATTAATGATGATGATTATAAATAGCACTTGGAACGGGCAAATCCCTGCTCAACGGGAAGCTGTATGCGCTTTACAATCTAACTACCATAGTATAATTATTACCCAAGTAGCCCTGATGACAGCATTCTCAAACAATCTCAACTTTCTTGGAAGCATGCTATTATTAGACAGCAATGCATTGGTCACTTTGTTTTGATAAGCATTTTACGGCATTTGCAACACAATAAAGTCAAATAAGTGCCGAAGATAAGAGACGTTACGAGAGAGTTACAAGCACAAAAAGGAGAAGGAGGAGATATATGGACGAAGGATGTTTGACAGGAAACGAGTAGTTGCCAACCACCTACAATAGGTCACTTTTCAGCGGTTGTCAACTCCCTATGCTAGAAGAGACGATGACATTCCAAACATCTGCGTATGACACTTACAACTAACCACCACGGACATAGCAGGCTTTGGGTATCTATTTTAATGTAGATGTTTTACGGCCCCACCAACACAATGTAGATCATTTAGGAGTCGGGCTTCGACCCTACTTGTCAGGGCCAGCCCAGGCTGAGAAGGATACACTGTACCAGCAGAAAGAAGACCAAGACACTTGATAAAAATTCTCCCCAACGGATATCGAACTGGCGTGTTCTGACGCCAGCCTGTCGACGCATTTGTAACTACAGCATTCCACTCCAAGACAAAGACGTCGTGTGTCCATGCCAACAGTCGGTATTTGTTCATGCCGGTAAGTAGCTCACCACTCCCTTGCTGTAGCTGAGGTAGTCTAAAGCGTCCATCCGTTTCACCGTCTTGAGCTTCTCCTCCCCTTCCTTCTCCAGCGCCGCCTGCATCCACAGACTGGAGTGGTAGAAGTCTTGGTCCACGTAGCTCAGTCGGCCCAGCAGGAAGCACTCGGCGGCTGCAGACAGCACGAACCACGTGATTCATTCTACATTCTGTTAGTTCTACGCCCCCAATAGACGCAGGTTAGATTTTTTAGGAGACTGGTTGCTTCGACTTTGTTTCGTATGTGTCAGGCGAGCATTCACTTAACGGTCGGATTGTGAGTTAGTGCATTCCAGCAGAAAAAAGGTAACTCAATAAAATAAGAATAAGGTTTCCCCATTCGAGCATCAAACACTCGTCTAATGCGTGAAACTCGCACTGCCCAATGAAAAAAATAAAAAACATATCAGGTTGTCAATTCAAACAGATCTTATACCCAGCTATATTTTTAACTTGAACAGCAGTTGATCGAAAATGATATCATTTCCATGTTCAGGTAAAAGTAGTAATACACATGCAAAGTTATCGCAGCGGCAACCTCTCATGCTACCTTCCTGTAGGTATTCTTAAGACGACAACTTCACATACAAAATTAAAGTGATTTTGACCTCACAAAACACGTGTGAAGGGTGAGTATCAAAAAGCACATCGTAAGGTATTCTTCGCAGGCAATGCTGTTATTCGCTTCACACATCTTGAACAGTCGAACAGGCGTGTGCATGCCCAGTATTGACCATGCTGTACGTCATGATATTCTCATCGCAGACCAAATACAAGAAACCCACCAGTTTTCACAGCGTATTAGTCACGTCACTCAGCATGCTCATTATACTTAAGATCTTATTATTAAGTACAGTGTACGTTTGTCACGCATTAATAACAATAAAAATAAACAAGTAAAGTATGTGATCAAATTTGCCGCACTGTCAAAGTTCGTTACAAGACAGTGAAGATGTTATATAGCGTGTTTGTCACAGAATTATTTTTTAAAAACAAAAAAAAAAACAAAAAAACAAAGTGGGTCAAGATACATTTAGTCACACTGTCAAAGTTAGTTACGAGGGCATTCGGACAGCAGACACATCCACGACGACTAAACAAATAGATGAGGGCCGTGCCAGAACAGAGTGGCAGGAACTCGTGAAGGCGACAAGCGTTTTATATCGGAAGCCGGTGCATTAAGACCAACCCATGCCACACATTTAAAAGTCAAGGCACAATGGTAAAAAGGAAGTCATAAATCACTCAATCAAT